ACAAGCCAATTATTTGCTTATTCCGGATATTTCTTCGGAAAGTAATCGAGAGTTCTTTTTGATGCAAATTTATATCTTTTGCTAGTTGTGCACGTGCATATGGAACTTGAAAACAATGCCAGTAAATAATGAGGACGCTCACTTGTAAACACAAAATCTGGAGAAAAAATTGGTTATATTTGAGGCCCTGTTTAAAAGCCTTTCCTGTTTTCAATGTTCTTGAAACTTCCAGGGAATATTTCTTGACGATTGATCTCGGGATTGTCGAATTTATAAAAAAATTTATCGAGCGGTTTTTGGAAAAATGCGAAATTTTCAGGCATGGACCAAATTACGTCCAAAAACTGTATCAAAAGCAGCTGAATGCAAGTTAATAAAATTCTTCTTTGTCGCGATCGCCCAGAGCAATTCCCCTCTTTTTTTGCATGCATTTTTCAATGGAATCAAACCACAACGAGATGAAGCCGCGTTCCCAAAGCTTATCATTTTCTCAAAATATTAGCGAATTGTGTGGCTAGCATGCTATTTCACTGTTTTTATGATTCTTAAAACTGCATTTCAAAATATTTCGAAAACGCTTTCATAGAATTTGTTCAAATTTTGCCACAATGGAGGCAATTATAACAGGTACATACTCCCTTAAGCGATTTCTTCAAAACACTCCTGGTACAAAGAAACACAAAGATAAATGAAAAACGTAATGGCGTCATTACGTTGCCATGGCGACTCCGATTACAATAAAACCCAGATCATATGAAATTTTCATCTTTATATAATACACCGGTGGTAACCTTGTTTCCATATCTTTAACCAGGCCGACGTAGTTAATGCTCAAACTGGGGAGGTATCAACCCCCAAAAATCCAGTCGAGCCTCCTTAAAGTCATCAAAGTAAAAGCGGCACCTAATTAGTTACAGGAGGGACCCGACTAAAGCAGGGAGATATTGAAGATCAATGTTAAGAAGACTAAGGCGATGAAAATCAGTAAGAGGTCTAGTGAGGACTTACTATTTTTGTGCAATGAAGATGGCCGTGGAATATAACGACACAAGTAAGTTGATAATCCATTCATGGAGTTTTCTGTAGCACTTTGTAATAAAATTGTCGCACTTTGTAATAAGACCTTGGCACTTTGTAATGAAACAAGCTGTCGCACTTTGCAATAGCACTTCTCAGGCCACTTGAGGCAGCACTATCTAATTAAATATGTATATTTTGATAAAAATGCTATTTAGGACGGTTTGCTTCTATTAATGATCCTGAAAATTGAACTACAAATGTAGCTTAATGGCCTAATACGAGACAAATTTTCGTCAAGTGACTGATAATTGAGAATTAACTGTCAAAATATTAACTCTAAAATGGGGAAAGGATAATGAAAGAGTAACAAGTTCTTTTGGTATATTTCAGAGGCTATTAGAAAGGTTCTGGATAATTTGCCTTGTATGTATGTTTACGTTATATAGAAAGCGGTAAATATGGGAGAAGGGTCACGTGACCTATTAATTTGTTAAATAGCTAATAGGATAAATAACATTTCCAATCATACCAGGCGGATTTACGATTTACACTGTTTCTGTAACATTTTGGTAGTGAAAATTCCTAAGGTTAAGGTTTGCAACTCTTCCCCGATTAGGAAAACTTGTTTTGTGGCGTCATTGACGACGCAATGTCACGTGTTATTTGAAATTTTTTTCGCTAAGCCACATTTCTAGTTTAGTTTTCAGGATCACTGATGGAAGCAAACCGTGTTTAATAGCATTTAACAAAATATGCATTCTTAATTAGGTAGTCATGCCGTAAGTGGTCTGAGAGTAATTTCAATTCTCACTATTTCAGCTGATCTTCACGGGATTCTGGCCCCTCAAAGACACTCGATCTCTTTCTTTGCATTACAAGACCTTACAACCTACTTGTATCTGAAAATATATTTATAAGCAAAAAATTTGGAAAAAATTAACCGTCAACCGTCAAAGCTATCACCCCATTGAGGCCCTTGTTAAAGACCCCGTCCACTCTCATGAATCCACGTAAAAAAAATGCGGTTTCATGGCTGTCAGATTCGTGTGGAAAGTGATCAACGTCAAATTTTTCTTTGTAATAAAAATTCTTTTTGACACTGACGAGACACGAGAATTAATAGGGACCTGATCAGGCAAAATGTATTTAACTTCACTATATTACCTTTACCCGCGGATACGCAAAGGTTTACTGATTAAATGGTTATTTAAAGGCTTAAGCATTCTCTTATTCCTTCCTGTTGCCTTTCCATTTTTAAATCGTCTTATTCTAAACGACATAGGAAAAATAACCCTTAGTATCCCCTTGGGTTTTCCAAGATATCGTTACGTCAGTAACAACAGCACAATATGAAAGTGGACACTATATTATATATTGTGTATACTAAACAAACCTACCTTTGATAACATTATCATCGTTTCCTTGATAATGAGGCCATCGTTTGAAGACAACATCATCATTTAAAATCTTGGCAACTAGAGAAGCGGCATTNACCGTGTTTAATAGCATTTAACAAAATATGCATTCTTAATTAGGTAGTCATGCCGTAAGTGGTCTGAGAGTAATTTCAATTCTCACTATTTCAGCTGATCTTCACGGGATTCTGGCCCCTCAAAGACACTCGATCTCTTTCTTTGCATTACAAGACCTTACAACCTACTTGTATCTGAAAATATATTTATAAGCAAAAAATTTGGAAAAAATTAACCGTCAACCGTCAAAGCTATCACCCCATTGAGGCCCTTGTTAAAGACCCCGTCCACTCTCATGAATCCACGTAAAAAAAATGCGGTTTCATGGCTGTCAGATTCGTGTGGAAAGTGATCAACGTCAAATTTTTCTTTGTAATAAAAATTCTTTTTGACACTGACGAGACACGAGAATTAATAGGGACCTGATCAGGCAAAATGTATTTAACTTCACTATATTACCTTTACCCGCGGATACGCAAAGGTTTACTGATTAAATGGTTATTTAAAGGCTTAAGCATTCTCTTATTCCTTCCTGTTGCCTTTCCATTTTTAAATCGTCTTATTCTAAACGACATAGGAAAAATAACCCTTAGTATCCCCTTGGGTTTTCCAAGATATCGTTACGTCAGTAACAACAGCACAATATGAAAGTGGACACTATATTATATATTGTGTATACTAAACAAACCTACCTTTGATAACATTATCATCGTTTCCTTGATAATGAGGCCATCGTTTGAAGACAACATCATCATTTAAAATCTTGGCAACTAGAGAAGCGGCATTAGCACTTGCAAATTGGCGCCATTTTTCATTTGTGCTGTCTTCTCCATCTGCATAACTAGCAATTCCCTTTACGACAAGCCACTCAACTTGGAGGTCAAATGCAGCTGTGTAAAGTCCTGCAACAGAAACAGCGGCACCACTCATAAATGGGGCCATTGAGTATAGCTGAGAAATGAAATAAATGGCAGGATATCAAATTGAAAGGTGCCTCCTCAAAACCTGTAATCTTTTAAAAACCTAAAAGGTTGCCTGAACAGATTATCGAAAAGGTGAGCCTCTGCCTGGGTGTTTTCGACAAAATCGAAGTCGCGACGACGACGATCGTTATTGATGAAGCGACAGTCGCATTGCCATTTCAATCAAGTTTGATTGCGCGCTCGTTAAATCTCGCACTCGTTTTTAAACCTGCCCCTAAGGGAATTAAAAAGGACGCGTTGCCATGGACAACCTATTTTTTTTCTTTTTTTGCTATAACACCCCAGCCCCCAACTTCCCACCCCCACCCCGCACGGGATTTCATTACCTTCGGCTTCGGTGTCAACGGCCACTGCCAGAGGAAAGGTTTCAGCCAGCTGTATACGCCGCGATTCTGTATTGATTACTTCCGGAACACTCAACAGCTCACCGCTGCTGTGAATTTTGACTTCTCGATCTTTCGAGTTCTCCAAAGGAGCCTCCCAGCCAAAAGCTGAATCCTTAATGAGGTCAAGAAATCGCTTGCTAGCAAACGTTCTTATATTATTGTGCAGCTCTTTATCATTTGTCACAACCTTCAATCCATATGTTGTCAATTTGGCAGAAATCACAACATCACCCAATTTGGTTTCCTCAGGACGGAGGCTACTGCACGTTCCCACTAAAATAATTGCTTTGGGCATAAGCACTGAGACAGCATTTTTTGTGGTTACTATGGAGCCTCCCGGACCACTAGAACCTTCATGGCATCGCAATAAAGCAACTTTTACTTTCTCCTCTTGACCTTCATTCTCGTCCTCGAAGTAAACAAAACCGAGACCATCGAACCAACATCTGGATGGATTGTTCAGGTGCATATAACAAGCTAAGAACTCACAGTCCTTTACAGTCAGTAACAAAATGTCGACAGGAAGGCGCGCATGATTCCGATCCTTTGTTGGTGATTGGATATCATTCATGCGGGGAAGTTTAACACTAAGCTGGGGCGGGTCTTTACTGGCGTCACTGTGTTTCCTCTTAGTTCCCCTATTTGCACCATCTGAGATATCTTCTTCTTGTGAGTTGCTGCGTAAGTCCATGCATATAGCGGGCGGGTTCGACATTTCGCTCAATTTAGACTTGAAAAGTCAAAATATTGTGGATCTGCCATATAAAGAGTATATACACTGTCACATGTCTGTCCAAGAAAGGTTTGATTTAAAATAGNGGAACACTCAACAGCTCACCGCTGCTGTGAATTTTGACTTCTCGATCTTTCGAGTTCTCCAAAGGAGCCTCCCAGCCAAAAGCTGAATCCTTAATGAGGTCAAGAAATCGCTTGCTAGCAAACGTTCTTATATTATTGTGCAGCTCTTTATCATTTGTCACAACCTTCAATCCATATGTTGTCAATTTGGCAGAAATCACAACATCACCCAATTTGGTTTCCTCAGGACGGAGGCTACTGCACGTTCCCACTAAAATAATTGCTTTGGGCATAAGCACTGAGACAGCATTTTTTGTGGTTACTATGGAGCCTCCCGGACCACTAGAACCTTCATGGCATCGCAATAAAGCAACTTTTACTTTCTCCTCTTGACCTTCATTCTCGTCCTCGAAGTAAACAAAACCGAGACCATCGAACCAACATCTGAATGGATTGTTCAGGTGCATATAACAAGCTAAGAACTCACAGTCCTTTACAGTCAGTAACAAAATGTCGACAGGAAGGCGCGCATGATTCCGATCCTTTGTTGGTGATTGGATATCATTCATGCGGGGAAGTTTAACACTAAGCTGGGGCGGGTCTTTACTGGCGTCACTGTGTTTCCTCTTAGTTCCCCTATTTGCACCATCTGAGATATCTTCTTCTTGTGAGTTGCTGCGTAAGTCCATGCATATAGCGGGCGGGTTCGACATTTCGCTCAATTTAGACTTGAAAAGTCAAAATATTGTGGATCTGCCATATAAAGAGTATATACACTGTCACATGTCTGTCCAAGAAAGGTTTGATTTAAAATAGTTAATTAAATTAAATTAAAATATAATCATCCTTACCAGACTAAATAGCGGAAAGTGTAAGTACGGCACTTTACATACTAGGTAGATGTCAGAAATGTCAAATGTCTTTGGGAAGATGTTGTGGTTCGGTTTTACCTTTGGTTCAAATTTTACTTTTCTTAGTTTGAAACTCATTATTACACGTGAACACACTCAAAAACAAAGGAAAATACGACCCCGTTCACACTAGCCTCCCACGCAGACGCTCTTTTGGCTCGTCACGCAACCCTCCGGTGGGGCAGGAACGCGTAACGAACCCGCCCTAAGAACGTCTGCGTGGGACGCTACGTCCACATGAATTCTGTTCGCGTCTAAGATACAATGCCAACGATTTTTGGTTGAGTTTTTCACATTTTATTACCAAGATATTTCGATTATTCTGTTTAAATACGTCTTCTGAAAATTTCGGTATAAAGATGTGGTACTATCACAGAGCCTGGGTGACCTGTGCTTTAACTACAAAAAGCCGCTCTTTGATATAAGAAGAGTAGACTATAGGTATTTTAAAATGGCGATTTTCGTGAGGTACCTTCGCCCAAATCCGGGCGTCGATAAAACCAGGAACACAGAACATGCTGGAACATCCCGGAAGATGAAAAAATTAAAATATTTTTTTATGAAAAAAAAATTATAATAATAAAAAATAATTATTTAACAAACTTATAATAACGAAATAAATAACATAACATAACATAAAAACGAAAAAGGAAGGAAAAAAAAACAAACTGGTATCATCTCCGAGTATGAAAGAACAGCATTTTGTCCCAATTTGTTTGGCGAGTGAGGGTCCATGCAAAGGACAGTATTAGTAATGAGTGGAAGCTTGTCTCTATATTCTAAATATATTAAGATTGGACGTAAGGAAGAGGGTTTTCAAGACACTCTTTCAAGCTTTCCTCACACAGCCACTTTTTGTAAGTGTGTTTTCCATGCAGTTTACTGATCATTTGACGGTTATCCATTTTAATACGGCTTTGTCACTTCAAGGAGAGCTTTGGACTTTAGTGTATACAAGATTTACATTCGCAGTGAATAGTTTCAGTGGTAGTCAGGTAGCGCAGTGGTAGTTTCTAACTGTTATCAGTTAGCCAGAATTTCAGCCATCTCCCGGAGTCTCAAGTGAAGTTTGCAATCTATTTATCTTCTAATCTGTTTGTTGCTTTGGAGTTGGCAAAGTCACTGGATTTTAGTGGAACAGATTTCATTTTGGAAACATTAATGCGTAGCTATTCTCGGCGACTAGACTTTCTTGAATTAAATCCTTTGTTGATTTGCGTCGGATAACAAAGTTGACTATTGATCCCACATAACTACAAAAAAAATAATTTCGAGTTCCCCAGAATAAAATGATGACCCAATAATTGAACTAGAACTTTTATGTGAGGGGCTGCTGTGATTCTCGTGATCAGATGGAGATCGAAACTAACTTCCTTGTCCTGTTTCAGACTCCAGATATGACACTGACACGACGGAACCAAATCATGCCGGTTCCGCGATTGATTTATTCTGCAAGGTAAAACAAAAAACAAACAAAAAAAACGGACGGCTCCTTTCCTTTCTATTCAGCTATGACCCGGACCCGTAAATGGATAACTGTCAAATGGTTATATAAACTCATGACAAAAAATTACAAGAGGTGGCTGTGTGACTAAAAGCATAAAAAACCCCCCTTCTGGCTAGCCTGCGTAGCTGGCGATATTGTGTGGGTGCGAGATTAAAGTTTTGGTGGCGGAGCCGTGTTCCACAAAAAGGGAGTAGGGACGAGGCGGTATAGTCGAGTGAGATTTGACGGCGGATATATTACAACAGCTCCGCAGCCAAATCTCACTCGACTACTACACAATACCGCCAGCTACGCAGGCTACCTTCTGGCGGCCCATTTTAATATACTGTGTATTTTGAATTTAGAGGCAAGCCTTCAATCATTACTGTAATTGGAATGAACCCTCACTCGCCCAACAAATTAATTGGGACAAAATATTGTTTTCTTATACTCGGAGATGATACCAGTTTCTTTTTCATTCATTCATTCTTTCTTTTTGTTATGTTATGTCATTGTACTTATTTTATTATTATAAATTTTTGCAAAAATTGTTTTCTTATTCCTTTCATAAAAAAATATTTTAATTTTTTCATGTTCCGAGATCTTCCGGGATGTTTCGGAATGTTCCGTGTTCCTGGTTTTATCGACGTCCTCTCTTGCTTGTGGCGCTTTGAGGAGTGTTCATGCTTGAGTGGCCCGCCGCGGAAGCTCATTATCATGCGTAAGGCTTGATTTTCCACTGTCGGGTAACTATGCGTACGTGCGTAAAATTTATGTTCGCAAATAAAATAGAGGCAATATATGTAAGGTCGCACGTAAGCGTAAAAGTAGAACCTCGCTCAACTTTACGTTTTATCTCAACACTTTATATCTTGCCTCTATTTTATTTACGTGATTAACATTTTTGTGCGTTAACGTCTGTAACGTGCCTTAAATTTCCGGACGTTCTGCGGGATGTAAAACTTTAAAGTCGACTTAAGTTCCCCTAAGACATCGGAGAAAATTAATTAGTTTTTAAGGCATCAAGTTAACCAAAAAGGCTTCTAAAGCACAGAGAAAACTATTCGAAACACTCCTGACATATTTCGGGCCCCCTGTTTTTTACGTTTCCCATACGAACCCTATAAATCCTTACGTCATGCATACTACATGTATAAAAAATGTTTAACAACCGTTCTCACATAGTGAGCTTGAGAAACCTGTGACTAAAATTTTAAAACTGGTATGACCTACCTTCAAGGCATTCGGTGAAAATTAAAAGCACGATATCAATGAGCTGATCCCAAGGTCTCTAGATTTTCGTTTTTGTCGAGGAAAGAATGAATTATGCTCGATTACTGCTTTTGGTTCTATGCCAGCCCACAGGAACTTGAAAACTCCACGGCTACGAGGTCCTGAACAAATACAAACAGTCGATTGTTTATATCATTGATCTAAGTATATATAGCGGCATGTTATTCACGAGAGTACAGTGGAAACCGGTTAATGCGTACGGACATCAGCGGCACATGCCAAAGTGTCCGTATTAAAGCAAGCTCTCAGAAATAACGTCATGGACACATGTTTTATCGATGTAAAGATTAAAGCAGGCAAGGACCACGCAGTCTTCAATTTTTGCACTGAACAGCAAAACAGCAGTGAAAATACGTAGAGTCCTCGAAAGTCCTCGGCTTTAGTTGACGCCTTAGTTAAGTTAGTTAGCAGTTGGATGTAAACGCGCTCACTTTACAAAATTGGTGAAGGAAGTGTTGCTTCACATGTCTAGGGTTGCTATTTCTTAGCTATTTCTTGGTTTCAGGGTGTACAAATGCATAATGGGTTTCCTGTAGGGAATGGGTAACCGGTAACTAATAATCTGAAATCGCCGATACCCGGTAACGACTTCCAATCAGCAGGGGCACCCAACGAGAATATAGTTCAAAGCCACTTAAACATAGCATTGTTGATCGTATTTTAGTATTTAAACGGTAGATATAGGCATATTTTTATCCCCTAAAAATTTTTCACCTGTTCGGATTTCCTAGCTGAAAGTCTAGTGATCCGAAAATTATAGGGATCAAAACTTTACCTTTCCGAAAATTTCAGCCAGAAAAAGGCTCCCGAAAATTCTAGGTGAACTTTTTAGGGTAAAAATCCGTTAAAAATGGGCCACTATACCATTTTTTAGATGTTCGAAAATCCTAGGAGAGGCAGGCAAGCAAGAAATTTTACAACTGTTCCGAAAATTCTAGATCTCAAATCGTCTTCCGAACAGATATTTTTCAAAAATTAACGTTGGGTGCCCCTGAATTAGTCACACCATTCGTAACTCGAAATCCTAACTCGACAAATAGGTATCCTCTCAGAGAATTTTAAAAAGCGTCCGATCAAACAACAGGTTTTCCATGAATTCAATGTTCAAGGCTCATCATTTTCTCCTTGGAAATCGTTTACGTTTCATGCGGTAGTTTATTCTCCTAGCCCCTTTCCCTTCAGTTTCCAAAAGCAAAAACACTCAATTTTTTTAACGGGTCCAAAACATATGTTGAATTGCGTCAAGTATATTTATATAGTCAACACAAAATATGAAGGTCATGGAGCCACAACCTGGCTAAAACTTGGTTAGTTTTTGCTTATATCAAGTGCCAAAAATGTTTAACTGTTTTGCATGAGGTATCAACAAATTTTTGAGGAGCCCTGTCGCATGTTCTAACCATGCATTACTGATTTCTCAGCTTGCGGGAAGCAGACGCTTTTTTCGGGTCTTGTTTCACCCGCTGTTTTTTCGGCGAGTGAAACAAGAGCCGAAAAAATTAAAGCGTCTGCCTCGCGCAGGTTACTGCTTTCCGGGCTTGTGCTTCGAATCGGTTTGTAGAAAGATGGTTTACTTGATGGTAACTTTTGAAAAGGAAATACCAGTTATCCATTTTAGATTCACGAATTTATCCTGGTTATCGTAATAAGCAACGCGTTAAGATATAGATTTGTCCCTTTTTTTAAAACTTGTTACAAAGTAGTTAAACTGAAAGTCGCTAACCTGGCTGCTTTACACGTCGACATATTGTGTCTTCGCAGTGTGAAACCCCTTCTGAAGAGGACTTAAAATAAATGCCTTTGTCTATATTCAAAGGATTATTTTGCTTCTTCTTCGATTCATGAGCTGTTCATTTCAATGTCGGCTGACTGAGTTGCTTTATGATGATGCCTAGCATTCAATGTCTTCGGTGGCATTACGCCTTCGCTGCGCATTTAGCAGACTAATGCAACTACATTTAGTTAATTGTTACGGTTCTTGGTCAGCAAATTTTCATATATATTTTACCTACAATTATTACCT